TGCTTTTGTGTGTCCGTGTGAGGTAAGGAAGTAGTGGCATTGTGGTTGGTGCACTACTCTGAATATGGCGATACCCGAGTTCGATTCCCACTCACAGCCAACATCTGTGATTGAATATCTGAACCGGTTGTGGCCTCGCATAGGTTGACTCGGCATCAAATGAGTATCTGGTGCAGTGTGTACACCGGTACTAGTGAGGAAAAGGTAGCCAGGCGTGTTTGGAGCCAGCCATACCACCCATCATTTGCCCTGCTGGCCTTAGTAGGTGCTCGCAGACTGCACTTGCCCCAATAGTCTTCTATAGGTTATTCTAGGGGTCTGAGTGGATGAGCAAGTTGATAATTTTCAACCCTTATTCGTGATAATTCATTAAAATCATCGTCGGCCGAAGATTATTCCAACGCTGGATGAAGGCCTCTCCAAGCTGCCGCCACCTTTTCACAATCCTGCGCCGTAATAATCCCCCGGCAGCTGCCCACTGTTGACTCCTCTCGGGAGCAATTTCATCCCTCGGACATCGCTCCATTTTCTTGGTTCTTTCAGTAAAGTCACGTAGAATGGAAATAATAAAATAATAAAAATAAAACATAAAATCATTCTCACGACGTTTCGGCCACAACGCAAGCAGCCGTCCTCAGGTGAAGAACAGGTCTGTCGATAAGACAGTCTCCATTTGTTATTCCTAACCATTCGTTATTCCTAACCATCTCCCATCGCCCTTTCTCGCCATGGCGTGTCCCTGGCCTGAGGCCCACGCGCACTTTTCCAAACGGGTTTGGATGACGACACGAGCTTGCGTGCGTATTCTATGATCCATGTCCCTCGCTCTGCCTCTCTGCAATGTAATTCCAAGAACGCATCTCCTACAGTAATCAGCGTTACTTAAATTATATTATATAAAAACATACAATATTTTGGTTTAAGTAAATTTTAAACCTCTGTTATTTTGTGATCTGATACTTTACGTAATCAGTGGATCGGAGGCTACGTTTCACAACTCACCCTGCCAATGTTGCCCACGCGATTCACAGTTTTGGAATGGAGATGATTTGCTAAATCGTTGCGATTTATAGCAAAGATCTTAACTGATTGTCTATAAAAGACAAATGCAGGCAGACTGCAACTTCACAGCATGTTAAGTTGCGTAGAATGCTGCATGACTTGTTTGCGAGTTCACTGACCAAAAAACACTTTTAGCAATGACTTAAAAACAAGCAGTTCTGTGCTGGCCTCCATAAACAGCTTTGTTAAAGGGGGGGAAAGGTCAACGAGTCTTTAGACATTATTTGGTGTACATTGTCAGTGGTGCGCTATCACAAATAACAACCACGAATATTGTGACCTTAAAAGGATACAAAAATATGTAAAAGGTGACATTGGCTAGTAGTCCTTAACAGCACAGTGATCGGAGAGAGTAAAAACAAAGGTTTCAGACTGCAGTCTGCACCACATATGTGTGTTTGGGTTGATGGTTGTGTTGATTTATATTTTTGAGTGATGGTGATGTATGACCGTGTTGGTGTGATGATGGTGTTGATGGTGTTAATAGTGAATCAGATGGTGGTGATAGTGGTTGTGCTATAGTGGTGTTGATGGTGAACATATAACTGTTTAATGGCGGTGGTGTTAAAAACTTTTCTGTATGTATGCATCTTGAACTTTATTTGCACCATACGTAGCCAACCATGCTCATCGGAACTGCGGGGGAAGAACCACAAACCAAACGCCAAAAGCAGTTGTAAAGCTCAACTTTATAATCCCACCTACCTCCACCGCACCTTATCTGCACACTCTCAAAACAACATTTCTCAATTGCAGAAACGTCCTCGCACTTATCTATTACACCTCTCCAAGTGCAGTTTGTTGCTGGTCGCTTGGACCACTCTAAACCTTTTGCCTATGTTCAGCAACCGTGATAAAAAGTGTGAAATTTGAGGGCACGGAAGTTCAGTTTCCCTAGAGAGCATCGTCGGTACCGGTGCTCGTGCAGGCCCAGGTTGGTATGCCGCATCTGACCTTGGCGAAAGGGACGCGTGGAGGTCGCCGTGCGTTCCATCGGCTCGCGAGGCTGGTGCGATTTTTATAATCGCGGCCAGATCTCAAAAGGGGGAACGCTCGCGTATGCAGGGTCAGGGGAGGCCAGCGGGTGGGCGGCCGCCCCAGCCAGGGGACATTCTGTAATGGGTTCAACCCGGGTCTGTGACGTTCTGGTAACGGCAGGTCACGGCAAGAATTATTTGTTTTTTTTGAACCGTGACGTTCATGGAAGAATTTGTCGCCGGTTCGGTCAGTTTGAATCGGTATGAAGTCCCCTCTAACCTTTTCGATCAGGTGGTGATTTGGGCTCGTGACGCGAAGGCAATAGGTTGGAATCCTGGTTTGTGGTTGATGCAGAGCCGTCATCATCATCATCATCATCACCGAGTTCATAAATTTGGTTAAACAGCTTTTCAGGAAGCCAAAGGCAGTTATTATATGGAGTGGCCTCTACCATGGGAATGTGGAATTTCTACTGCTGGCTTGGAGCCACCAGTAGGGACGAGCGTCACCCCACATTCGTTTGTGCAGGAGAGACGCTTTTTGAGATTTGACTCAAACATAAACAGAAATTCTGCCCCAGGATAAGAAATCGTAAAAAACTAAGAATATAAAATGCAGCTGGGTTGGAAAGAAATCATCAACAACGACACTAGTTATGTGCACTGCCAAGCCTTATGCAAACAAATTTTATCAAAGTGCAGTGCACTAACCACAGACCCCGAACCACAGCTACATATGGACACACACGTATAAATGTGTGCACATGTACATACACGCAGATACTGATGCACACAGGCCATCCACATACACTTTACATTTATGATGCAAGTTGTGATAAGTCTGGTTACTCGTGTCCTGACTTTAGACAATGTGGTGCCACAGTTGGAACATACTTGCGTCCAGTGTCAATTGAGCAATATGGTTTTCATTTTTTTTTCCCCTTTGAAAACAAAGAGTGAGCCAAACCAGTAAATGAGCCTCATGGGTATGCCCTCAACTGGAAAAACTTGGCAATGTCACATCTCCCCCCCCTTTCCCCTCTAGCCTGCATTCACCCCTTCATTACTTTACACGTTCTCCTGAAACCAATCCAGCGAGTGAGCCTAACCACTTTGCAAACGATCTGTTGGGGGTGCAGCGTTGGTGATCAAATGTCGTTTAGAATGTTGCGGAGCAGCATTGCGAGGTGAAGATTCAGATTCGTGGGCTTATCTCCAGGCACTCTTGTTTCCGCACGCACGCCTAAAGTGTACAGGTTGTCAATCTCTACTGCTGGATGAAGGTATCCCCCATGCCATGTGGGTCCTGTGGGTTGTCTCGCAAGATGGTAGGCTCAATTTCGATTTAAAGCTTTCGTGACTGCAGGGATTCATCTTCTTGGTTCTTTCGGTAAAGTCACGTAGAATGGAAATATAAATAAAAATAAAACCTAATAAAATAATTCTCACGACGTTTCGGCAAACGCAAGTATCCGTCCTCGGTGGAGAGCAGGTCTGTCGAGGAGACAGTCTGAATGAAGAAGAAGACTCTGTCTGAGTCATTCAGACCTGCTCTCCACCTGCAGGACGGCTACTTGCGTTGTGGCCGAAACGTCGTGAGAATTATTTTATTGTTTTATTTTTATTATTCCATTGTACGTGACTTACCGAAAGAACCAAGAAGATGGTAGGCTCTCGATTATCCGCGTGCGGTTTATCCGGTTGCGATTAACCGCGCACCTGAGATTTTGACAAATTAATAACTCGTGGATTTTACTTTATGCTAAAATTAATACTCTAAAAACGGTTACGTATTGTTATTCTTGCAAATGTTTATTACAAGTCAACATGCTTAACCCAAACAAATATGCGCTCCGGTTGATCCGAAATCCACACGGTCGCCGCTATAGTACAGTAGTTGCATGACAACAGTGGGCGGAGTTTGATGTTGAAATAGCGTGGCTCTGAAACCCACTTAGTTGGCAAGTCTTCTGCGCGGGAGCAGAAAAGTGTTTCGCTGACCACGCATGTCCATCGGTCGATCGTTAGTATTCATTCTAATCGAATAATAGTTATTTTTGGATTTTCTGCGGTTTTGAATAATCTGCGGCCATCCTCCGCGTCATTAGCCTCTGATAATCGAGAGTCTTTGCACTTGCATTGCTCGGTGCAAGGTTGGTGAAGGCACGGAGTGTGGATGTGGAAGCATTACTGAGCAGCACAGCAGCGGCGTCTGCTGCATCACAGTCTGCTACCCTCAAGTAGCCGCCCCACTGCCACCTATGACAACACGCCGTGCATTCCTGGTCGCCCATCCAACGCTTAACCGGCCTCGACACTGCTTGGCTTCCCGAGATTTTATGAGTGGGTGCATTGCCGGGAGATTTTGGTCATCGTCGACCATGGCAATCCACTGCTGGATGAAAGCCACATCGATCCTGTGACGCAATGGTTCCCTCTCCTTAGCACCGCACACAGGTGGATTTCATCGCTCGATTTGCCTGTAGGTTGTACATCAAGAAATGACGTTCGATTCTTGTTAACGCTCTCTCTCGTTTCGTCTCTCCCCCGGTTGACCTCCCCCGCCGGGCGCCTGACTGCCTCCGACACATGACTACCGCCGCTCCAGCACGGTAAGAGAACCTTGCTATTTTTAAAAGCGGGTGGATGCGAGTTGAAATGTGAGACTGGCGTGTTTTCTGTTCCCCGTCACCTTCGACGCTAGCCGCAATGCAAACGACTCTCGTCGGCACCAGGGCTCTGTGTTCCCTTGCCTCCACATTTTTTTCCATGACCAAACAAACATTTTTTTTATTTTGCCCCAGCAGTCTATAAATCTGGCCAGGTGGCTCGGCAATCGAAGGTTGCGATTTAAAATCCACAGTTGAGGATTAACTCGTCCCATCTCTCGGGGTCGATCTAAAAGTGAGTACCACCTTGCGGGGAAGTCAACAGGGTCCTGGGGATAGACTCGCCCGCCATATGAATGTGGAAATTCCACCACTGGCTCAGGGCTGTAAGCAAGAGCTGAGCACTGCCCTTAATCGCACAGCAGTGCTAAACTTTGTCGTTAGAGAACGACCTACTGGAGAGGAGATACCACGGGAGCTACTTCTGAGATCACTTCAGGTAGAGGGCATCACTTTTCCAGCCCATTCTGCTTGGAAGTCGTGAATGAACAGAGAGGGACTTGGTCCCGGTCAAGTACATGGTTTGCGCTCCAGTGGTGGTGCGGAAATTAACGTTTTATTGATTGAAATGTTACTGGAGTGCTGCGGCAGTCCCTTGCGCTATAAGAATGCACAGCCGTCTTGTCAATCCACTGCTGGATGAGGGCCTCCCCACTGCAGTGTGGGTCACGGCGTGGATATGATGCGTCAGGTGTGAGGTCCTGCCTCGCACGTAAATGTTTGGTCTGTGGTTCTCGCACTGCACTAAACCCAGCATATCCTGAGTTTGATTCCCAGCTGTGACTAATGAGTGGCGAGGCGCTGTGCGATCCAGTCCTGGGGCCCCTTCCCACGTCACCTACGCGCCCACTAAACCAGTGCGTGAAGTATGGTCCTGTAACCCCTTATAGCCGATACGGCGTGGGGAGGCCCTCATTCGGAATAAAGGTTTTATGGGTTGGATCGCGCAAGTCGTAAATGTGTCATTAACCCGCCACTACCCGACAGCCAATTTCGCGATCTTCTGCGAGGTGAACGTTGGCTTTGTTGGGGTCACCAAAATGACGAAAGCAAAAAAAACAATAAAGAAACTACTGTACTGTATTGTAGCGATGCAAATAGAAATCGGAGCAACCGTAACAACAACCAGTTTAACACACAGTAGGTTTCGCGACCAATATTATCCACAAGAGGTTTTATGGGTTAGATCGCGTAAATATAAATGTGTCGTTAACCCGCCACCGCCCGACAGACCATTAGTAAGGTTTGTCATGGAAACAAAACGTGCCAGTTAGTTACTAGTTGAGCACACCGGTGTGTGGGAGAAAATACACAACATTTACAATTTGAGTACGACGTTTTACTTGCAATTGCATTCGGTGTCATCGGGCGATTTTTTTCCAAAAAAAATTACACAAAGCTTGTAAATTTGAGGCTGTTGGGGATGGTACGAGGCTGGCCGTGGCTTTCATGACGATCTCTAACTGTGATGCACACTCCCTGTATTCTTTGCGTGTGAATGCAGCACTTCTGGGGGCCTGTTGTGAACTGGGGTCTCCCTCTGGCAGCCATCAATGACATGAAAAAGAGCCCAGAGATCATCAGTGGACGCATGACCTTTGGTGAGGGTCACCTCGTCCCTCGCTCCAAGTCCTGAAGCAACGTGGGCCAGGATCTTGTCCGGCACCCAGAATAAATTCAAGGGGTGGGGTGCCCGGTATAATCTGTCCTCTTACTAAAACCTTGTTATTTAATTTTTAGATTATGTATTGATTGCAATGTTATTTATATTGATGAAAGATAAGAATTGGTTTTTACCCTTTTTGGCAATAAAACAGGTGTTAAGATGTTCAAACGCCAAATAGATACATTTTGCAAGGCATCAAGTCTGCATTAACCACACGTACTTGTGGCAAAACACTGTTTTTATATCATCAGAGACAAAAGTGGTATTCAATGCATTACACGTTGCAAATGGGATAAGGCCTAGTCTTTGTGGAAAATAACAGGGTCGGCTAAATGTGTACGAGCACTGTAAAGGGACCATTTGAAACCCGGGTTGTGCAGTGCAAACATTCTGCTGGGGCTGGCGCGTTTCCGCCCAGCGTGGAGACGTGGCTAAAGCCACGAGTCCGCCTCGTTTTGCACGCTGGTTAAATTTTTAAGGGGTTTTTTACAACAACAAAAACAATTTAACACGCAGGCATTCGCAACCCAATGTTATTCACAAAAAATAAATGTGCTGGCTCAATTCACCCGCTTTTCTTGAAGCTGGTTGTTGTGATTACCGGCGAAACATCATGGTACTCGAATTGTAAATGTTGTGGGTTTGCTCTCCAACACAACTGGTGTGTTGAAGTAGTAACTAATTGTCACATTTATTTACGTGACAAACCTGACTGATTCGCCATGGCGGGTTGACGACACATTGATATTTACTCAATCTAACCCAAAATAACTTTTATTCCAAAATAAAAACCCTTAATATTTGCGGGACATGGTGTTATCCACTTGCATTGTGTAGAGGACGATCTGAGTGGATGATGATGATCATGGCGGTGATGGTGAGTGACCGCTGCTGCTGGTGAAGGTCATGAAGTTACCAACGGCGATGATGATGGCCCCCGATGTTAATGAAGTTGATGACGCACGATGGTGTTATTGATGATGGTGTGGTGCGTGCGTGTGTTGCAGCCCTGTGCTTGTACTCGCTGCTGTTCATGCGCTTCGCGTACAAGGTGCAGCCGCGGAACTGGCTGCTCTTCGCCTGCCACTTAACCAACGAGTCGTGCCAGCTCATTCAGGGTGGCCGCCTCATCCAACACAAGTGAGTAACTCCCCACTTTGGCTAGCTCGGCTACGCGTGTAACCGGATTGGTTGCTTGGCATGTAGGTAAACTCGCTTTCATTTTACCAGCTAAGGCCCACTGAGCTACATAGCTCTTTTTCAGAAGCGATCGGTTATCACAAATGATGGTTCGACGAAATGGCTTATCGTGTGGCATTTATAGCAGCCATATACTATAAATGCATGTTCCTAAATGTTGAGGGAATAACCGGAGGAGCTGGTTAAAAAAACTCTCACGACCATGGGGAGAACACGCAAACTCCAAAAATGCAGGCAATCCAAGTTGGGATTGAATCCACACCCTCCTGCATACCAGGTGAGGCAGATAACATCTCGCTACTGAGGCACCCAGGTAGGTACAGGTAAAGGTGCAGCCCTGCAATTACTTGCTAATGCTACTGCAAGCAAAGGATTTTCACTCGAGGGGGCTCGAGATCCCCTCTAGACAGCCTGGAAGGGGTGGGAGCCCCCACACCTTACTCCACCACACACAACTTGCAGATCCACTAACTGTGCCATACCCATTTATGCTGCTGGTCGACAGACATGGGGAGTTAAGCAACTTGGATCATTGTCAGCTACCATGATTAGCAGATAACCAGTCGCTTTAACTATGTCCACAGTCTCTTTTCTTTCCGTGTCTCCTGCTTGTCTGCGTAGTCCTTGTTTTCTTTGACCCACTTGTGTCTGTGTACATCCCTCTACGTCTTCCACGTCTTCCACGTGTGCCTTTTTTGGCTGTGCGTTCCTTGTCCGCCTCTCATCCGTCTCCCTCGTCCTCTTCGGGTCTTTCTCGCATCAAGTCTCGTGTCTCCCCTCGCGTGTGACCCGCAGCATGCAGAAGGAGAAGGCCCTGAAGCAGCAATAAGACGCACGTGGGTTCGCGTGTAGCTGCTGTGGGGTCTCGGTGCACGCGCGAGCCAGACACACTCCGGTCGTCACAGCCCAACGCCGACGTCTGCCCAGATTCTACTCCAAGACCGGCTCAGCCACTCCGACTCTACACCTCCAACTCTCCTCCCCTCCCCTCCCCGAAAACTAAATCTTAAGCGGAAACTCATTCTGGCAACGGTTTGTAGGAATAAATCAATAATTTTCACACCAAATTGATTTTCTTTGAATAAAAATGCACAAAGCCTGGCTTGTTACGACGCAGGAATGACGTTTTGAAAACATTTGCGGTGTTTGTTTGTTAATGTCTGCAACTGCACTGTCCCTCCATAAGACCGTTTTTAAATCGCGAATGGTTAACATTTAGCGCGGCATTATATGCTGACACGCGCACATATCTTCCGTTAAGCATTTTTAATTGTTTAGAAGACCCACGGTTGTAGCTTCATTTTTTTCCCCCCCAGCAACCTCAATTAAACTCCAAACTATGACTACTGCGGAGGTCTTCGTGGTTGTGCTGCGCAGCTCTCGATGTGTTTTCTGGGTCGTTGCACGCGACGTCTGACGTTTTGCTCCACGCGCCGGTAGCTTGTGGGAACTGAACATTCAATCGAGTGTTTAACTTGCGCCAGGACGTGGCACGGAACGTTGGACATGTGCCAATCGAACGCAATGTGGTACAAACCGAAAATGCTTGAGCGCTACACCATTGCAATTTGGCCGTTTTTAAGAGGTTAAATGTCAATTGATGCTCCACAATATAAGTGAAAGTTAATGTTCACACGATATGCATGCACACATGTTTAGTGTATAGTGTAATATAATGGAGTGTTTAGTGTTCGTGTGTGCGCATGCATATGTGCGTGTATCACTCGCCAACGCAGAGGCTAATCCACACCATAATAAATCCACACCATGTTACGTTTGGACCAAGATTGGTTTTGCTCAGACGTTATTAAATGAGCGCTCGCACGGAAGTTTATCTGTCATGGACTTGGAGTTTGGGCTTGGCTTCGTGTGTGCTGGAACAGGACAATGTTTGTCAGTCATAAAAAATAAAAGGTGTGTCCACATACGCGTGTTTTGGTGTGCTAAAATTCTGCATGACCCGAGTTTGCGTTGTGAAAGGTAGTGGTGCAGCCCTGCATTGCTGGTCAGGCGACTGCTGGCAGATGAACCTCCACCAGAGGGCATTTGCTCTCGGTATTTGATGTCTTGGGAGAGTGAAACAATCACCCTACTAACACAACACACGAACACCACCAACGTGAAATGAATGCCTTACTAACAAAACACGACCACAACGTGAAACGCACGCCTTGCTAACATCGCATTATTTTTTAAGAGTTATTTTTGTCTCGTTCAGCACTAGAGCATTGGGTGATTTAACCGATGCTGGGATGTGGGTGGCAGAGATGGGTGTACCCACTATGGGGCCCAAGCCAATTATTTTTCTTGTTTTGGTACCAAGTGAGATGGCTCGGACTTTAGCATAACCGAGATATTTAAATCGCCAATAAAAAAAGAAATTGCAACACAATTCACCTTCAGTCACCATACAAACTGGTATCAGCCAGTCATCTCGGTTAACAGCTGGCCCTGTCCCATGACCACCTGCCAGCGAGCTTTTCACAATTCACATGACCTCAGTGTAGCCATCCTGTAAATAGTTTTTCGTTAATTTGAAATGAGCCCTGCGAATATGCAGAGCTTCCAAAATCTGCGTGTTTTGGTCATATGGCTGGACTGGCACCCAGCATGGCAATGTGGAATTTCCATCACTGGTTCAGGACCACAAACGGTCACGAGCGCCCACCCTATTTGCTCATTTGAGCTGGAAGACGCTTTACATTTAAACCCTCCATGGACCAAGGTGGTAACGCGCGGGGCTTCCGCGGATATCTTCCGCCGTCGGCTTCCAGGGCGTCGTGTGTTAATGAAAACGGCCTCTCTGTTGCAGGGGTGACAGGGGTTCCTTGTGCTCGTGCGCACCTGTGTACCTGTGTACCTGTGCACCTGTACCTGTGTGAACCGTGCTCTGTGTACCTGTGTGAGCCGTGATGAGGGGCGCGGGTGTTCCTGTGCTGCGTTCAGGGACCCGGTGTCACTGGCGCGTGAGTGGCCGAACCTAAAATCAGATGGCGCCCCGCAGCTTCGCTTCATACGTGCTGAAACGTCCATGTCACGTGTCTGTAAATCCCCCACCATCACCGCCTCTGTCCCCAGCAGCAGTGGGCATGGGTTCACCGCAGTAGAATCAACGATCGGTACGTGACGTGTGGCGGTGTCAGCACTCGCGCCTCTTCAAAAGGCCAACAATATCCCCACGCCTCCCTCTTGAGGCGGGCATGGCCTCCACGTTCAATGACAAATTCAGGACGTCGCCTTGACCCTAACGGTGACCTATACCGCCGTGCGGTTTGTTCGTGGCGGGCGCCAGCCGGTACGTTCATCACAAACATTCCCACCGGTAACGGTTACCGCTTCTTGACTTATCGAAACCGGTAACCTATTTTTCAAATGGTTTACCGCTTGACTTGATCTTGTTCAACAAACCGAGAACCCCGTGAACGGAAGGGGAGAGGCTGTCCTCTGCCGAGGATGCGGAGTGGAGCCGCGGTGGCGGTGGCGGCTGCCTCGTCGGGGGCTGCCTGTGACCCGCGCTGCGGACTCCGCCGTGGGTTGGTGGACCACACGCGGATGGCGTGCAACTCCATTGCCGTTCCTGCGCGTCGAGGCGGTGGGGGGGGGCTGTACCCAGGCTCGCCTGGAGAAGGCGGTGCAGCAATGTGGACTAACATCCGTCTGTTACAACTTCCTGCGCGTGGGCGTCGAGAAGTGAAGCCGTATCCTGGCTCGCTAGAAGTCGGGATGGCAAAAAATAGCACTAAGTGTTGCCTTCTCGCACATCTGGGTTTGCTCTGGAACTAATTGTGTTTGTAAGTCAGGGACTGCCTAGATTACAAATTACAATTCATATCGGTAGATAATGAAGAAACTGATCGCACGGAAACAAAAGCCTAAGCCAGCAAACATAACCAACACATACGTGTGCTGAACAATAACATACGGAGACTAGCCCCATAGGGCAATGTGTATCCAGCACACAGCCCGCACAATCCTCGGCCTGCCTGGCACGGCTCGTTCTAATGGCGGGCGTAGTGCTGCTCATTACCCAGCAAAAACGTCGAAACAAAACGAAGCCAAGAGCCGCCATCATCTCGCACGGTTGTTCAAGCGATGCGGCCCTGCGTCTGGCTCCTGCACGGGAACTCCTCATGCTCCCTCGTCCGTCGTGGGTCTCCGCCGTGCCGCTGACGGCTTCGCTGCTGCCCCGACCCACTCGCCCTCTCGGACAGTCCGGCTGACGCTCGTGACCTGCAGATGTTCCCCAACCCACGCGTTTCTCTTTCGGCATCTCAATTTAATTCCAAGGGTTTTTTTTTATTGCGTGATGTGAACCTCCCTAAGTCACGTCTATCATTAATTCAGATAATTTATACGTGTATAGATATCTGCAACAAAGATACGAATCTTTAACAGCAATGTAGAAATCAATGTTGCTATACAATAGTGCAAGTTGGAGAACCACCAAGATAGAGGCATGATGAACCCCCTATCAACCTTCCACAACAACTGTCTGAAAAAAGATATCGCATCTTCTGGCCGAACAAGGTTTCAAACCGGGACCTGTACATCGAGACAAATTCAAGATGCATAACACGGGACACAACAGAGAGAAGACTCGGGTGGCTGGGACACGTGCTGACACTGGAACCTGAGTCCATAGCGAACACGCCCTACGGGGGACCATCTACACCAGTCGCGTCGATGGCATTGAAGTCATCGATGTTTGTGTTGTTGACGTTCGCGTTGATGCCCGAGATCTTGACGATTCGTATCTTCAATGGCCAAGCAGAGTTTCTTTGTTTGTACAGTTATTGATGCCATACAAGTGCTTATTTTAACCCCTGGGGCTTTATTAAAAGTTATTAAAGTAGTTGATACATATTTATATACAGTAGTTCCATTTGTATTGCACAGTTACAAAGTTAAGAACAAATTTACATGTATGTGCGTAGTATGTGTATGCGTGCGTGTATGTGTGAGTATGTGTATGTGTGCGTATGTATGACCGTGTGTGTGCATGGGAGTGTGCGTGGGTGTGTGTGCGTGGGTGTGTGTGTGCGCGTGGGTGTGTGCGTGGGTGTGTGCGGGTGTGTGCGTGGTGTGTGTGCGTGGTGTGTGTGCGGTGTGTGTGTGTGTGCATATGCATCCGTGTCCCACTGCTTCAGGCCTCTTCGAGTGAATCCACGGACGGGTCATTGTTTGACCCGGCCCATTCTCTTCAGTGGATCCCACCTGCAATGCCAAGGCACAGAACACCCCCTTCAGGCCACCGTGTGAACGTGCAGGGATTTACTCCCAGTACACAATACAACAATACAATTACTCACCAAAGCCACGCAACACGGAGCAGGAGCTGACGCTACACCTCCTGGTTTGCAGAGAGGGGGCGTAGTGGTTAGCACGGGTTCACGGCGTAGTGCACTAAGTTCAATGCAGAGAGATGTCTGGGCTTTTAGCAGGTCTAGCCCCCCTTCCAACCCGCCCAGAAGGCAGGGTAGCAACATCCATTGCTATGCTCCCTCCCTTAAACAACCCGTAATAACCAGTGAGGTGAAGTAAGGTCAAGTAACCTTCACAACCCACATGGCATGGAGAGACTTTCACTCAGTAGAGAGTGAATATGGGCAAGGATACTACGTGCGGTGCCAACTTGCCATCCCTAAGCACGGCCAAACAGCGGCGATTCTGTTACTAGCATTGTAGAACGAAGGGGGACATGTGAGAGGCATCCCTGAAAAAATCTGATCTGACGAGATCCGTCGCTCTTAGACGTGCGTCGTGCACGCCACTTCCAACTGAACGCCCCGGCGCTTCGCGCGTGGCAGCACTCACACGTTTGTGGAAGCC